CCAGCTTTCTGAGGCTATCACAGATGCTATACCTCCTACCTCTGAAAAGAATGATTTTTCTTCCGATTCTGGTTGTACAAAGAAAAGCACTACATGCTCACCTTCCAGGGAACCTCACTTGTTTGATTCTTTTATTTCATCTGGAGAAGTTGGTCAGGAAGTATCCAGAAAAAGCTTTGCAGAAATTAAAGTTGAATTTCCAGATATACTTCAAGCTTATGAAAATGATGTCCTTGTAATTGATGTAATTCAGGATGATCCAGAACTCTTTGGAGTTGAAGGGGAACGTTTATTTACTTCAGGTGACGCTTTTAAAAACCAGGAACTTAATGCTGCTGAAGACTGCCAAGAGATCGATTTAAAGCCTATGAAACTGCCAGTGAAAAGAGAGCCAAGCAATGACTCTAGGTTTGCCTGTCAGCATGGAAAGAGGTACCATTTTAGTTGCAAAATATTGTAGAAGTTCAGGGTTTTTCTTTTCTACTTTTTTAGGTTATGCTAATGTGTTTACAATTACCAATGAGCTGGGTGGTATGTATTGGGTTTTTGTTGCGGGTTTTTTTTGGGTGGTTTTTTTTTATGTTTTTCCCCCAGACCTTTAATATAATGTCAGATCGCTGCACTGAGCCTAGGAAAGAATTATGATAAAAGCAAAGTAGAAGTAAAGGTTTATCTGAATCTTAGAAATCAGGTTAGCTAAAGATATCAAGTATACATATGATAGAAAACCTTTTTTCGATTATGCAGTTGCTGCATTTGGAGAAGTTTTACAAATCAGTAGTGAATATTAAAATTGTTTATGTGGTTAATAGAAAAAATGTTAAGCACTAATAGCAAGTAGGGTTCCCAATGTACTTTAAACTGCTATCCTTTTTGATGCTTCTGAACTAATACATTTCTTTTCCTGAAAAGTGCCTTCTCCCTTGACACTTAACTTTTGTTGTTGGTTTTTCAAATATTTAATGTTCGTGAAGTGGCTTTTCAGTGGGGAAAAGCCATTTATGTTAAGGGACAGGTTCTATCACCTATTTTGCTTTAATCCATTAAGTGAATTGAGCTTAATATTCTGTATTTAGCATAGATAAAAGTATGAAAACAGATGGAGGTATGGAGTTATATTATAGACTTTATGTAGAATTAATGTATTTGAAGCCTGCACTTACTGTGGTGAATTATTTCTCTTTACTTACTGCCCCATAGATTTCCTAGGAGGTCAAATTTAATAAATACTCCACTTTAAGTAAACATAATTATGGTGAACTTTCTCATTTTCTGAACAGAATGTTGACTTCATTAAGCCTAACACATGGTAGTAAGTAGACGCACAGAAATGTTAGGTACAAATATATCTCATATTCTTAACTAAGTACTGACTTTGAGTTGCTTCTCTGCTCTAGAGTTCAGGTTAGAAAACAGCACCTAGATGCCTAGCACTGTTCTTACCAAGGATGTGTATCTAATAGATGTTTGAATTTCATTGAAAACTACAGGTACGGTATAATCCTAATCTTTAAGATTTAAACAACTTTTTTTAGTTGTTACTGCATTCTGAAGATCGTAGAGTTAGAAAGGACCTTACAAATGACCTAGTCCAACCTCCTTATTTTAGAGACTGAGAGGCTGATTTGCCCAAAGTCACATGTAAGAGGTAGGAAAGCCAAAATTTGAAAGCAGATCTTTCCCATCTTTAGTGCTTTTTTTATACTAGAGTATTTTGCGTCAATTCTGAGAAAGCCCATGAGCGTAGTGAATTTTAAAGACAGTTTTGAGTGAACTGTCATCTCTTAATGATGTAGTGTAAAATATGGAAATAATCTCACATTGACTGCATTTTACTAAAATACGTCATACTTCATGCCTTAGGAGAATTCTCCTAAGTTGGACTGCCCCACCCCCCTTTAAAAAACACCTGGTTGTCAACCTGCATTATATTAGGAAAAGTACTTTTTCTGTATGTCAATAAGTTAAATTATTTCAGTGGTGTTTTCTAATGGTAATCCCAAAACAAAATTCCATACATTCAAATGCATTTCCCTAGCTATTACCCAGCATAAAAACTGTGTAACAAACTACATCTCCTATTTTTGGTGGTTGAGGGAAACTGGGGTTTGAAGAGTTAATTTTGTAGAGGAGAAAAGCATTAGCCTCTCTCTCCCTGCCTAAATTACTGTACTGTGCAGTATTCCTATTTTAGATAGTCATGTTATAAGTGTAAAACTAGGTGTGTGAGCATTATGTTAACCTACCCTGGACAGTTACCCTAGCTGTCAGGTAGTCATTTCATTTTTAGTGTTCAGCAATTCAGTTTCTTAATGATTTGAAAGTACAAAATTTTTATTTCTAATTGCATTTAAATTGAATGGTGCTTCTTTTGTTTCCTTCCCAGGCTCTGAGTTTTGTATTGGCCTAATCGTGACATTAGTTAGTAGAAATAGTGTAGCAGGAATACCTAATTGTCTTGTAAGGGAAGCTTACTAGATGGGGATGATCAGTTTCCCTGCTATTCAGATACCTGCCAGCATGTACAACTTCATATTGTGTCTTTTTTATTGTTGCTTGTGTTGAATTTTTTTCTTGTGTAAATCCTTGGACTTAGAATTAAAGAAGAGATAATATTGACTATTTTTAAACAGGTCTTTTATTTCCACACTAGTGTTTTTTTCCCAACTTTATTTTATTTTACTTTTCTTAAAAAATGCATGGTATGGTATTTATAATAACTTATGTTTTGAGGTAGAAAAAAAAACTGAATGATCCAATGTTACAGCTGTTGCAGTCTTTGTTTAAGCATTCTTTCTTGGTTTTGTGGATTGCTCTTTCAGTCCAGCTTTATTCGATGTAACCTCAGTTGGTTGTAGGGCAGCTAGGTGGTATTGTGGATAGAGTGCTGGGCCTTGAGTCAGCCACTTGCTAGCTCTTTGACCCTGGGCAAGTCACTTAACCCTTTTTGCCTCAGTTTTCTTATCTGTAAAATGAGCTGGAGAAGAAAATGGCAAACTACTTCAGTTTCTTTGCCAAGAAATTTTGCTAAATGTGGTTACAAAGAGTTGGACATGACTGAAAAAGGACATGACCGGTTTTACTAGAATCTGCTTAGTTAGGAGTACTAACATTTCATCAAAAAATCTATACATTTGTTTAGTACATATTTTAAGGGGATTTTGAAAATATCAAATACTTCAAAGTCATCAAATTGTGTCAACCTGCTAGGTTCTCATTGTAGTTTCTATGGTATTATTTAATTGCAAGACTCTTCAGATTTTTAATATCTGCCCTTTAAAACTGTTCATTATTATCATGGCCAAATCTCACATTTTTTTGTATTGTGAGTTAATATTCTTCATCCTCATTAGTGTAGTCTGCAGTTTCTTTGCCTTTTTTTTTTTAAAGCCCTTTGCTAACTTTATTTGATCCAGGTGAAACTCTTGATTTTCTCAAGAATGGATTAATAGCATTTACTGACCTAATAGTATATAAATGCTAATTTCTGATTTTTGTAAATGTAGTAAGCACCTTTAGTTTTGGTCTTAATATGAGTGACTAAAGTAGATGATTATCGGGCTTTATCGTTTCATAGACATCATGAAGATGCCTCTCCCTCCAAGCAAAGAAGGAGAGATAAGGGGGAGAAATTCAAACAAGAGCTTACTTGGCTGAGCTGTAGTGTCAGATTTCCTCAGTAAGAGCAGACATTCTCACTCCTGGCTCAGATAGGTGCCTTAGTTCCTTGCTACTTTACACCTATAGATACAGGCAAAGGAGCCCTATCTTCCTGGCAATAGAGAAGAAGGCTTCTAGGACCCAGATTATGAGGGAGACCGAATCAGAATTTGAGATGTGGAAGAGACCTCTGTAGTCATCTGATCCAGCCTACATGATAACTGATGTGAGTTGTTGTCCATCCTCTGCTTGAAGAGCCTCCAGGAGTTGAAACCTGCCACTTTTTGATGCAGCCCATTCACCTTTTGAGAAGCTGTAATTTGCTTCTAGTTCTACCTCCTGGGGCCAAACAGAACGAGTCTAATCCCTCTGTATAACAGCCCTTCGGGTCCTTAAAGATAGCTACCATGTCACCCTCTGTCTTCTCCAGACCAACTGATCCTCATCTGACATGGTCTCAAAATCCTGTAGCATCCTCCTTACCTTCCTGTAGATACATCATCCTGGAGGTGCTCTTCAGCGGCGGTACCCAGAACTGAACGGTGCCAAAGTGGGTCTGAAGGGCAGAGTGCAGCGGTGCTGTCGCCTCCCTGCTCCTGGAAGCTGTGCTCTTCATGCAACTTCATTGACTGTCTCCCATCACACTACATCCACAGAACCCTCAAGATCACTTTTAGACAACCTATTGTCCAAGCATGCCTCACCCTTCTTAGACTTTTTAACGTTGTTTTTTTTATCCAGGTTAATATTTTGCATTTATCATGTTATTTGGTTCAGCTCTGTGCTCTAGCCCGTCGAGATCTCTCCTCCAGTAGTGTTAGCTATCTCACTCCACTTAGTATGATTCGTAAGGTGTTAGCACAGAGATGAGCACAGATCCTTGGAGGCACTGTACTGGAGACCTACCAGATTAACATCGAGCTATTAACGATGACTTGAGTCTGGCCGTCAGACCAGTTCTGAGTCCATTACATCATCTGTCCAGTATACCCCCTTCTCTACTCTGACACTGCTACCACTTTGGTTCAGGCTCTTGTCACCCCATTACCATGTAGCCCACAGCTTTACATCATCTCCACAGGTATAGTGTGAGACCTGTCTCATAAATGGATTAATAGATGGTGGTGTCCCAGCACCATAGGTAAAGAAGTCCCAAGGTAGTATAGTGTTGAGACCATTTCACTTGGGGAACATGAATGCTTTGCCCTTCTGAATCGGAGACATCTAGCTAGGCCGCATCAATGATATCATAATGGGCTTGTTTTTCTTGCCATTAACATTCTTTCCATGCAGTCATGTTGCGACTCTTCTTATAAGGAGAGTAGTTTCTGCTGCTAGAAATTCAGACATCTGCTTTGGAAGTAATGACACTTGGGTAGGACAAAAGATATAATACAGTGTGTGCTGTGTCTGTGTGTAATAGTAAGGTGTACCACATACTATATGGTGTAATTTTGGGTTGAAAAGTTATTCAGCCTACCAAACTACCCTCTAGAGTTTGCAGTGATCTTATTCCAGATGTCTGCTTTGACCCTCCTTCCCCCAGAAATATGGCAGATGTTAATCAGAGTCTGAATTGAAAGGGTACTTATGCCAACTGATCAATACCTGCCCAGAAATCTCTTATATATAGACTTTTCCTGGAATACTTCCAGTGAGGAGAAATCTACTAGTCCTTTGGGCAGCCCATTTCACTTTTGTACATCTGTGACTATTGGGAAACTTCTTTACCTCAAGGATGATTTTTATCCATTGCTCCTAATGCTACAGTTGGGGCTAAGGGAAACAAGCCTGTTTCTTCTCCCACAAGACAATCTTCCAAATACTTGAAGGTATTTTATCGTGTTTCTCCTTCCCTTATTCGTTTTTTTTTTTCAAGGCTAAACATCCCGAGTTCTTTCAGCCAGTTCTTCAGAGATGTGACTTTGAGAGCTTTCACAGTCCTGGTTGCCCTCCTCTACTTATCCTTGCCCTTCTTAAAATAGGCTATAAACTAGATGCAGTATTTCAGTGTGCTGATATCTACAGCATTCTACTAATCTTGGTCTAGTAACTTGCCCCCCCCCAAAAAAAAGGAAGTTGGCTTAGTTCCCCATGAAGTATTGCAGCATTTCTTGTATGTGCTCCCTTCTCTCCTGCTGCTACCCCCACTCAATTACAGGCCTGCCAGTGGATCTGCCTGCCCCAAGTTTCTCCCCACTCCAACCCACCTCTGTTCAGACACTGTAGTGGTCTTCCTGAAGCACAGGTCTGACCAGGTCACTCCTTAACTCAAGCTCTAGTGACTCCCTCTTCCCTCTAGGATTAAATACTACAATCTCCTTTGTTGGGCATTTAAAGCCCTTTACAACCTGGGACCAACCTACTTTTTGAGGCTTCTTTCACTTTGCTCCTCTTCAGTCCTCGGTGGTCTAGCCAGATGGGCTGTGTGTGTGTGTTGGGCAATTGGGGTTAAGTGACTTGCCCAGGGTCACACAGCTAATATGTGTCAAGTGTTTGGTCTGAGGGCATATTTGAACTCGGGTCCTCCTGACTTCAGGACTGGTGCTCTATAAAATGGGATCATTTCACTGGTCCTTTCACATAGCACTCCATCTCCCACTCCCCAAACCCTGGGGATACACCCTTATCGCCTTCTTTCAATGCTTCCCTCAAGCTTGGAGAAAATTGGTTTCCCTCTTGCCCAGAGACGAGCAGTCAGGCAAGGGTTACGATGAATGAGGATATGTAGGTTCTATTATTTCTCTACCCCCCAATTATTGTGGAATAATTAGATCACCAGCTGTCATAAATATAAGGGAGATAGAACAAATATTATTGCTCCTCTGATACAGATCAGGAACCTGAGGGGAAAATGTAAGATGATATGCCTGAGGTCTTAAGAGTTAAGGGGGGGGGGGGAGAAGATAAGGGAAGACCGAGACTTTGATTATATTTGATCTTTTATTTTGAGGATCCTTCTTTTTCTAAGTTAAATTCATACTTGGGGAAAGGGAAGGGGGAAGCATTTATGAAATGCCTACTGTGTGCCAGGCTCTGTACCAAGCATTTTACAGATATGATCTCATTTGATCTTCACAATAGCCATGAAGTAGGTCCTATTGTTATCACCATTTTACAGTTGAGGAGACTGAGGCAGAAGTTACTGGCTTGCCCAGGGTCTCACAGTACCAGTCTGAGGCCAAATTTAAGCTCTGGTCTCAGTGTCTCCAGGCAGCCAAATTCTTTACCCACACTTTGTGTGTAGGTAGTGGGAAATGAAACTGGAGAAGAAGGTTAGGGGCAAATGATAGAGGCTTGCATTTAACTAGCCAGCTAAGGACTTTGACACTTGCTCGGTTAGCAGTGGGGCACTCCTGAAAGAGTTCTGAGCTGATCTGGGGGCCAGTGCATAAGACAGTTTGAAGAAGGGAGACTGAAGGCAGTTGAGTTTAAAAGAATATTACAGTGGCCCATAGCAAGAGGTAAAGAGGGCCTGGGAAATGGAAAAGGAGAGAAAGGCAGAAAAGCGTTGGTGGAGTGGCCACTGTGGCCAGCCCAGGATTCAAATGGGAATTGCATTTATAGACAACCTGGCCAAATAAGAGTAAGACAGCCCTGTTAGGTACAGCTTTCTGGACGGGGATGAGCCATGGCCATATCATAGGCAGATGAGATTAGCCGTAAGGAGAATGGAAAGGAAGTGCATGTGGCCGTGTGCTGACTCTCCAGTAATGCAGAGGACAAGGTGATGGGATCAAAAGGCATACTTCCCAGTGGCTGCCGCCTCTCCCAACCAAGAAGACCAGTAGCACTGGAAACAGGGTCAGTAGGACTGAGTCAGCACAAAGCGTGCATCTAAATCTTGAAGGAAGCCAGGGCAACTAAAGAGGCGGAGGTCAGGAGGTAGAGCATTCCAGGCTTGGGAAACAGCTGCTGTGGAACAGCCAGTACAAAGGTACACGGATGGGAAGTGGAGTAGTGTGTGTTAGGGACAGCAGATAGGTCTATGAGGCTGAACTGGAGGGTTTGTGATGGCGAATAAAGTACGAGACTGAAATGGTAAGGGGCAAAGTTCTGAAAGTAACAGGGCCATTAGAATTTACCGAATGATTCTGTGTGTGATGAGTGAAATGTGGTCTGACCTGTCCTTTAGGAAAATCACTTTGACAGCAGAGCAGAGGCTGGCCTGGAATTGAGAGACCTATTAGAAGGCTCTTTCAGTAGTCACCAGAAGAGCTTATGGGGCTCTGAGGGCAATGGAGGTGAATGGAATAAGGGAGACCCTACGTGAGCGATGTTGTAACTGATTGTATGCGTACAGTGAGTGAAAGCAAGGAGTTGAGGATGATGCCAACTTTGTGGGCCTGGGTGACTGGGAAGGTGCTAGAACCCTCAACAGAAATAAAGAAACAATACTCCAGGACCCACAGCAGTAATGAGGAAGCACACTTCACTGGGCATTAGTCTTAGAAATGTGAACTAAGACCTAGGCCCTACTGTCCTAGGAGCTTATGGTCTAGTGGGAGGAGAAAGACAAGCCCAAAAGAACTCAAGTGAGAATTGTAATTAGTGCCTACAAGAAATCTGAGTGGGGCTGTTTGGGGTATGGAGGTAGCGCCTGAGCTGGGGCTTAAAGGAAAGCAAGCTGAGGATGTTGGGGGAAAATGTTCCAGGCATGAAAGACAGTGTGCAAAGGTACAGAAAGAAGAAAAAGGTGAGGCATGATTAGGCTTCAGGAAGTAGCTGTTTTTATCTGGGAACAAAGTGAATAAGGAGGTTTTATAATTGGGAGCCCTAGAACTCTCCAGCAGGTAGTTGAAAATGTAGTTTTCAATTTAGTGTCATCTACAAAGATGGCAACAGTTGGGAATGACTTTGCAAAGGACTTGACTTGCAAAGAGAGCACTGGGGGAGAGAAGAGTGTAGGGAAGAGGTCGAATGAGGTTTGAGTGTATTTGTAGAAAGGTGGGAAGGAGGCAGAAGACAGAAAGGGAGCATAGACTCGTTTTGGGCTTTGTCTTTTCTTGGTCTGGATATATTAAAAAAAAAAAAACACCTTCTCTCTCCCAATGGGAAACTGGAAAGAACCTAGACCAGAGTCATACAGCATCAGCAGGCATCGGCTGGGCTGCAGTGAGATCCCAGAGCCATTGGAGTAACTGTAGAGTCGTTGTTCCAAAGCACTCGCTGCCAAGGGGTGGCTTCAGAAACAGTTTGCTGATGTCAAGAAAAAAGCCACTGTTGTTTTAAACTGTAAATATGGCATCTGAGAACAGACAGCTAACTGTTGGACTTGGGGTTTAACTCCATCTCTGGGTTTGTCTCAGCGTTCAGGTGGGTCGTGAGGGCCTGTTTGTGAAAACGCTTTCTTTTTGCTTATACTTCCTTTGGTATAGATTCAGATTTTATCTGTTTTTATTGCCTGTCCATCGCATGTTCACTGATCTAGGGAAAACCACATTCTATCTGTTCTCCACCCTTTGATGATATAACGTGTGTGCCATGATTGTATAAAAAACATGCTCTTTGTAGTGCATGACCAGTGAGTATTTAACACTAGTCTTGACAGTAAGGAAAAGTTGATGGTTTTGTTGAGTGTCTTCATAGGAAAAACATTTCTGGATTTTACTCAGCCAGCTGGGTGTTAGCTCAAACTGAACTTCCCCCAAGTCATTCATCCTGTCTCTGCACTATTTTCCCCTTCACACAGACTCAAACCCCAGAGTAATCAATCAGTCAGTAGACATTTATTGTTTTTCAGATCTCTCCATTTAGAGATATTGGAGTGGTTGGCCATTTCCTCCTCCAACTTATTTTTACACATGAAGAAACTGAGGCAAACAGGGTGAAGTGACTTGCCCAGAGTCACACAGCTAGTAAGTGTTTGAGGCTAGATTTGAACTCATGAGCACGAGTCTTCCTGACTCCGGGCGCAGTACTCCAGCCATGACGCCACCTATGCCGCATGCAGGACTGAGTGCTAGAACCCTGAGTTTGTGGTAAGAATCTGGCTTCGAACCCTGGCCCTGCTGTTTCCTTTCTGTAGGACCCTTGATCTGTCTCGCCACCTTTCTAGACCTGTTTCCTCGTTGTGTATATGTTCTGTAAAATCCCTTCCAGCTACAACATGATCCCTGTTACCACCCATGGGGTTTGAACCCTATCCAGTCAAGAATCCCATCACAGTTTTTCTCCTTCCATTTCCGTTTTGATCTTTCCTCTCCATTTTTGCTACCTAGTCTTATCACCTCACACTCAGATTACTCTAATAGCTTTCTGAATGGTCTCCTTGACTCCAATTCATCCAGCAGATGAAACATGTTCAATATGTTGTTTCCCTCACAGTCCTTCACAGGCGTCCCATAGAAAACCTCAGCGAGAAGGTGTCTGCTG